ATAATAATAATAATAATAATAATAATAATAATAATAATAATAATAATAATAATAATAATAATAATAGTAATTTATTCCATTTTTACTGCACTTTACATTTTACTATCTCAAAGAACTACAATATATACATCTAGCGAGAATAAAACATGGACTAAAAAAATTTAAAACTTTAAAATTAAAAACAGCAGGATTAAAAATACCTTTACACACTATAAAATCTTTCAAATAAAAAGGTCTTCAGTCTTTTCTTAAAACTTTCTGTAGTCTCAGGTATCCTTAGATGGTCAGGGAGGGTGTTCCACAGATGAGGAGCAGCAGAGAAAAGGCCCTGTCACCCATGGTGCACAGTTTTGTCAGAGGAGGGTGGAGCTGATAGGAATTTGTGGAGCGGAGGGCTCATGTTTATGTCTGAGCAGTGAGCAGTTCTTTAAGATAGTGTGGAGCATTGCCGTGAATGGATTGATGGGTGAGTAAGGAAACCTTGTATTCAGTGCAGAGTGAAATGAGAAGCCAGTGGAGGGATTTAAGGTTTGTGATCATGTTCCCTTTGTTTCATCAGGATCCAGGCAGCACTGTTCTGTACATACTGAAGTTTTTAAATGTGCTTGGATGGAATTCCACTAAAAAAGTGCAATGCAGCAGTCCAGTCTGTATCTGCATGTAAAGTAAAGCATCTATGTATCTACCTCACCATCATAATTCAATCTCAATGTCAGTCACAATCTGTGTAATAACCTGTCACACAAACGGTGTAACCTGTTTAGTAGATGTTAATTATGTGCTATACATACATATATATATATATATATATATATATATATATATATATATATATATATACCTTTGTGTTAATCTGTATGTTGTGATTTGCCTGTCACCTTGCTGATGGTTTCCCTGAATTTCCCCACTGGGGGACAATTAAGGTTATGTCTATTCTCTTCTATTCAGTTCTATTCATCCATCCATTATCTTTACCTTCCTCTTCCTTTTTGGATTGTGGGAGTCACTGGTGCCCATATCCAGCCATCACTTTGTGAGAGGCGGGGCACACCCTGGACAGATCTCCAGTCTAAATGAGGCAAAAAATAATAATAATTCTCTCACTCTCACCTAGGGACAATTTAGAGTTACCAATCAGCCTAACATTCATGATATTGAACTGTGGGAGGAAACCAGAGTACCCAGAGAAAACCCACGCATGATGGAGAGAACATGCAAACTCCACCCAGAAGGGTCCCCAACTGGGGTTTTGGGTCTGTGACCTTCTCACTGCGAGGCAACAACTCTACCAATTGTGCCACCGTGCCACCCCGATTCTATTCTATTCTATTCTATTCTATTCTATTCTATTCTATTCTAAACTCAGTGTGACATACAATGTCAATGCCAATTTATTTCTATAGCACATAAAAACAACAAAAGCTGATCAAAGTGCTTTACAGTTAAGTCACATTAAAAAGAAAATAAACCACATCTTTTGCCACTCGGAAAACATAAGAACGTTAACAATGAAATACAACACGCAGCAGCAATAAAAATCAACTCGAACTTGTTCTCACAAGTTTTCCTAAGTTCTAAGTACCAACAAGGAAACGTTTAACAGAGACTCATTTCGACCCGCTCTTTACTCTTTGGATGAATTTCATTGGACCAATCGGAGAGGCGGGGGGCGGAGCCTGTGGCAGACGAACAGCAGCGAGCTGCGGATGAGAGCATCAGAGAAACCTGTGGTTTGTGTCGGTCCACCAGCGCTACCTGACGCCCTTCAACGGTAAGAGCTGCTGTGCCTCATCCGTGCCTTTCCTGTGACCGTTTTTATTCTTGTGTCCAAACAAGTTGACAGAATGAGGCTGGAGCTTGTTCCATAGATCAAATCATGTGTTTCGAGGTGATGTGTGGAATATACTGGTTTTATTTGTTGCCAGGAGATCACAGCTCCGTCATCAACATGTGCGGGCTTTCAGTCAGTATAATTAAAACCCACGACCCGAGGAGGAGATTTGATTTTCATCGCGACTGCTTTGATTTTTCCCCCTGTTATTATTATTATTATTATTATTATTATTATTATTATTATTATTATT